ACACGTGAGAAATCACAGGTCCAGCGCCCCCTCCCCCCCAAAGGAGGCTCTTCTGTGTAGGAAACTCCCCTTGTGGAGATCCTTTCCACCAGTACAGACCAACAACTTTTCTAGAGCTCAGAGTTAAAGAGTCGCCGAGGGCCAATGAGAGGTTTTTTAGCGAACTGCCCCTTCACTCAGCTAGAATGTATGGGAAATAGGACTTGAACCCAGATCCTGACTCCAAGGCCAGACCCCGATTCATTTACTATGCTGTCCTGCCTCTCTATGATCCTTCATAGTAGTTGTTGAATAAATGTTTGTGGAATGAATTCCGCATTACTCTCCTCAAGCTCTGCATTCCATCCTAACTGGCCTACTTGAGTAAATGTTTCCAGACGTAACATTCCATCTCTCTCCTCCATGCCTTTGCACAGTCAGTACCCCATGCCTAGAATGCAGTCTCCTCACCTCCAGCTTTTAGGATCCCAGCCTTCCTTCAACTCAAGTGCTCGAGTGCTACTTCCTACACTTCACCCTCATCGTCCCTTCCCAGAAATGACTTTGGATTTGATATGTATAGATTTTGTATTTACTTAAATAAGATTTATTTATCTGGGTCCATGTTCTCTCCCTTTCCCAACAATATCCCTCCCTCCCAGAATGTAACTGGTTTGAGGGTGAGGACTTTTGGTTTTGCATTTTTTTTTTTTTAGGCAATTGGGGTTAAGTGACTTGCCTAGGGTCACACAGCTACGGTTTTGCATTTAACAACAATAGCTGGCATTACATGAATGCCTTGTTGGGAATTAGGGAGGAAGTGATGAAAAGAGCCATGCCCTTTGACTCAGAGATTCCACCCATGGGCATCTATGCTAAAGTCAATGGAAAAAAAGGTCCCATATGCACCAAAATATTTATCACAATATTTTTTTCATTTTCTCCAAGAACTAGAATTGATGTACATGTCTGTCAATTGAGGAACGGCTAAAAGACAGTTAGCCTGTTGTAGTAGATAGACTGATAGACATAGAATCAGGAAGACCTGGATTCATATAGTGCCTCAGATACTTCATGGATGATCCTGAGCAAGTCACTAAACTTTGCTGTGCCTTAGTTTCCTCAGCTGTAAAATAGGGAGTTTAATGGCCTCTTTGGTCTATTCTAGCCCCAAATCGGTGACTCTATAAATATATTATTACACATAAATAGTGGAATATTACTGCAGTGTAGGAAATGATAAATACAAAGAAATAGGGGAAGGACTTATATGAACTGATTCAAAGTGAAGTAAGCAGAACTAAGCAAATAGTATGTACAATAACCACAACAATGTAAAGGGGAGAAAAAAAAACAGCAATAAAACAAAACTAAATGATTCGGAATTGTAATGGTCAATTTTGATCCCCCAAAAGAGATGAGAAGACACCTTCCTGCTCCATTGCGGAGATGGGGGACTGGTTTTGGAACACTAAGTATAATGTCAGACTTTTTTTTCCCCTGTATCATGGTTAGTTGGTGAATTTTTCTCCCTCTTTTTACTATGAGAGTTGGCTCTATGGAAGGGGGAGGGTGGAAAATTGTCTTGGGAAATGTAGGTGATATAAAATAAAATATCAAAAAATATCAATAAAATATTAAAAAATAATAGTTGGCATTTAAAGAATACTTTAATATTTGCACATTTTTAATTGTCTTGTTTGATCCTTACAACAACCCTGGGAGGCAGGTGCTATTATCATCCTCTTTTGACAGAGGAGGAAACTGAGGCAAATGGAAGTCAAGTATCTTGCCCAGGGTAGCAAATACCTACAGCAGGATTTGAACCCAGGTCTTCTGGACTGAGGTCACAACACCACCTAGCTGCCACTGTTTGTGTTCCTAACACCTAGCACACTGCTTGGCATAGATAAGTGCTGGTTGAATTAATTAATGTTGAAATCCGAATAGGTATCTCTTGGCACGTGCTGTCCACTTTGCACCTCACCTTTCATAACTAAAGCTCGTCATAGGGCCCGCTCTTCCTAGAATCTTTCTGAGAAATCCCAAGTCACAAAACACTTCGCCCTTTTGAAACTGGGACAGACGCAAGCAGAACCACTTTGAAATGTCAGCTCCACCTGCAGGGACAGCTAATTACAAGTATTAGCAGACTGACTTCTTGCTGCGGGCTTCCTGTTTGCCAGCTGCTTTCAGAATGAATCATTTCTCCCTGGTGACAACTGCTTCTCTCCCTCTTTCCTGATTAGATTTTCGATTACCTGCTGCCTTTAAGATGGCTTTGTTCTTTTCCCACTGACAATGTGTATTTGAGGTATTATTGCTATATTGCTTGAAAGAAAAATGGTCTACATTTGGTTTAAGAAACACAATGTGTCTTGGCCCTAAATCAACTTCACAGCTCACTGAAAAATGCATAAATAATCAGCCAATAAACATTATATTAAGTGCTTACCGTGTGCCAGGCACCGTGCTAAGTGCTAGGGATGCAAAGAAAGGCAAAAGCCAGCCCCTGCCCACAAGGAGCTTACAATCGACCGTGGAGACAACATGCAAACAATCGACTATGTACAAACAAGCCATAGACAGGCTAAATAGGAAATAATCAACAGAAGGAAGACAGTCATGTTAAGGGGGACTGGGAAAGGCTTCCTATAGAAGGGGTAATTTTAGCCAGGAGAGTCACAGGGCAGAGCTGAGGAGAAAGAGCAGTTCAGGAATGGGGGAGCACAAGGGGAATCGGCCAAAGTTGGGAGGTGGATAGAGCCAGGACACCAGCGTCACTGGGTCCAAGGCTGGGTCTTAGTGCCGTACTCTGTAAGATGAGGGGATTGGATTAGATAAATTCCAAGATACCATCCAGTTCTAACTCTGTGAAAACCAGTATCTGTCTCTTGTTTCCTAGATATGGCCACTTGAGATCATCTGTGAGGTGGATAATGTGTTATGTTTTACAGATTGGGAAACCAAGGTCCAAAGGGAAATGACTTGCCCAGAGTCACATGGCTAGTGACAGAGGCAGGACTTAGACTGAGGTCTCTCTTTATTTTTCTCCTTTGAAAATCAAAAGCCGAGAAGTTTTACAAAATTTCAGAAATATGTCAGACAGCTTCTTTTCTAGTACTCTGACACCCCACTCCTCCTGCCTCAGGCCAGACTGTTCTTTTCATGGCCCCTCCTTCAAAGATTCCCTGCTCATTTAGGCCTCTAAACAAGATCAGGAATGCTCTTTCTTTCCTTTGAGAAAAGTTTCACTAATGCCTTTGGTCATTTCCACAGCGCCCACCACTCCTAATCCTCCCTTTGCCGATAAGCCTTCCTCAGGTTTAATTTAAAACAAAACAAGGAAACAAAACAGTTAAGCAAAGCCAATCAACATTCCACCCTGACAGCACACCCAACATTCCGTACCTGTTTGTTGTTCAGTCCTATCAGTCATGTCTGACTCTTCTTGACCCCATTTGGGGTTTTCTTGGCAAAGAAACTGGAATGGCTTGCCATTTCCTTCTCCAGCTCATCGTGAAGACTCATCTTCCTAAGTCTAAATCAGGCCTCAGACACTTACTTACTAGCTGTATGACCCCGGGCAAGTCACTTAACCTGGTTTGCCTCAGTTTCCTCATCCGTAAAATAAGTTGGAGAAGGAAATGGCAAACCACTCGAGTATCTCTGCCAAGAAAACCCCAAATGGGGTCACAGAGTCAGACACAACTGAACAACAAAGCCTCTTTCAAGACTCAGCTCATCTCCATTCCACCTTCTCCAAGAGGCCTTTCCTGATCCCCCACACTAAGTGCCTTCTCTCTAAAATTCCACCTTCTATAAGAAACCTTCCCTAGCTTCCCTTAATTCCAGTACTTTCCCTCTTTTAATTATTTCCTATTCATCCTACACACAGCTTGCTTTGCATCTATTTGTTTGCATACTGTCTCCCCCATTAGATTGCAAGCTCCTTGAGGGCAGGGACTGTCTTTTGTCTCTTTTTGTATCTCCAGAGCTTAGCATGGTGCGAGTAGGCGCTTAATGAATGTTAATGATCGATTGATTTACACAGCATATATCTCGTATGTACCTAGTTGTTTGCATGTTGGTGCACCCATTGGAATGTGAGCCTCTTGTTTTTACCTTTTTTTGTATCCCCAGCATTTACACAATACTTGGCACTTAATAAGAGTATGGGTTTCACCTGGTCACTTCCCTATTCAAAATCCCTTCATTGGTTCCCTGTTGCCCCCAGGATAAAATACCAGCTCCTTCCCAATTGGGCCAGCCTGCCTTCCTTTTTAAGCTTATTTTACATGACTCCCCTTCAGGCACTTTACATGACAGCCCAACTGGCCCACCCACAAGCTGTCCCCCCCCTCCTCCCGCCCCATGCCTGGCCCCTACTTCTCTTTCACCTCTTAGAATCTTTGGCTTCCTTCAAGGCTGAGCTCAGGAGCTCCCGATCCCCCAGTTACTAGTGGTTTCTCTTTCATCAAATCATCTCGCATTTCCTTATCCGTTTACATATTATCAGTAGTGTAAACTTCTTGAGAGCACGGACAGATTTGTCTTGGTATTAATAAATGTTAATTGAATCAGTGCCTCTTTTCACCCTTTTCCTTGTGTTTCCAAGAAGACTATAATCTTCTTGAAGGCAGGTACCATGTCTTCCACTTCTGGATACCCCAGAACTCCTAGCATTTGCTTCAGTGTGGCACAGTGGAGAGAGCACTGGATTTGAAATAAGACCTGGGTCAAGATCTCGGCCCAGTTACTTGTTACTGTCCACAGCGTTGGGCAGGTTACTTTCCCTCTCTGGGCCTCAGTTTCCCCTTCTGGAAAATGACTGATTTCGAAGGTCCCTCTGTGTGCTATGACCTCATTGTTCTAAGTTAAGCTGCCCAGGTAAGTTCTAGCTTCTCTACACACCCCACTGTTCCTATTTTCCACATTTAACTCAAGAATAACTGCCTCACAAGATGCACAAAACTTGGAGCTGCTCAAAATTAAAAGGACCACCAAAAACAAATGTTTAATTAAATGTAAAATTCAGATATGATTTATTTTTGTCTTTAAATTATTTCTCTCCTCCATATGCCCTTTCATCCACATTTGAGTGGTGACTTGAGCTGGGCAGAGAAATCAGAATCATTTCCAGATCCTTTACAAAGTTCAGAGCAGAAAATAATAACTGACAGTTATATAACGCTATGCAAATGCTTTACATCCATTATCGCATTTGATCCTCACAACAACCCTGTGAGGTAGGTGTGATTATTATCCCCATTTTACAGATGAGGAAACTGAGGCTCAGAGAGGTTAAGTGACTTGCCCAGGGTCACACAGCTAGGACATGGAAGAGGCTAGATTCGAATTTGGATCTCCCTGACTCCAGGGCAAGCCCTTCAGCCACAACACCGTGATTACATTCATGTGCTTTTTTTTTCAGACATGACATGACCAGTGCTATGGACATGAACAATATATCCTAGAAACCGGACCCCCCCCTCCCCCAATGGGCCTATGAAAGATTATACACAAAAGCTTTTTAGAAGCCAAGTTCCATTTCCTACAAAAATCACCATCAGCTATATGTTTAGGCTTATGCTCACATACTCAGTGAACATATTACCGTGGCAAGGCATGCTCATGGTCTGTAAAAAGGCCTGGAAGACATCTTTTTCAAGAACAAAAGAACCCCACCAAATGTGCGTGCTCAAAATCTGGCATCAACTGGTTTCTGACAGAAATGGAACAGTTCCCACACCTACGTTTGGGGCAAGCAAGCAATCCCCAAACCAAACAAACAGCTCCAACATCTGCTAAGCCCAGCTTAGTTTGCTGCTTAGGGACAAGGGCTAGCAAAAGGCTGTAGTCATTATTCTGCCTATTAACATAAAGCATCGGAAAGAGAGAGAGGGGGAGGGAGGGAGGGAGGGAGAGAAGCCAGTGGGTCAAGAGGCTGACCTAATACCTGGCTTCCTTCTAGGATGCCCATTAGGCCAAAGAGAGAGACCTCCCTGACGGCCACACCAATGGCAAACCTTAGCGGCTTTCAAGTTTGCTGTCCAACTGGTTAGTTAGCCAACTCACTAGGTGAACCAGCTGGTTTGGGCATTTGGGGAGACCCTAGGATGCCTGGGAATCCCTGGGACTGGGTATTATATTTCACACATAGTCTTAACTTAAATTCCACTTTTAGAAACACTAAGAGGGCAGAGGTTCTAACATTAATGCTTATAGGGAGAATAAACCCAAGCATTGTGTTTGTTGTTTTCATTTCCATCAGTTTAGCTTTCTAATCCTCTAACCCTGAGGGCAAACAGGACCTTAACAATCAAAGTGAATTAGAGAAAGATAATCAAATAACAAACATTGCTTTAATAAAAATCTTTTGTACAACAAGGTATTGATATAAAAAGACAGTTTCTTCAAATCATTTCACGGGAGTCACTCAACAAAACCATCCCAGGTCTCTGTAACATGATGAGCACAATGTGCCGGCGTCCTTCCAATACAAGTTATACATCAATTTTTACAGATACATCTCGATCTTTATCTCTGTTGAGATAAAGATCCAGATAGAGATATTACACTTTTGTAATTATGTTCAATCACTGATAGGTTTTCTGTCACATATTAGTGAGCCAAATGAGAATCAAAGGCAATCCACAGTCATGATGATGTGAAGAAGGTAAAATTATTTCCAAAGTCAATTTTCGTCCTTGTTCATATTCTGAGTATAACCATTGTGATAAGACCTGAAAGACAAAAATTGAAGACCTCGTCTTAGAGAAATGGCATTCACGAAAATTCTCCATCCAAAGAGAGATTGTTCAGACTTAAAATGATTAAAGCAGCCACACATAGGAAGAGGCACTCAACTAAGAAGTCGAAGTAAATTGAATTTCGCTGAAATCACATTTGTGTTACACAAAGAAATCCAATTTGAAACAAAGGGCAGCCACTGGGTGGGGTTAATTACATCAGGAAATGTTCCTCTAAAGCCCTGCTCCCAGTGCCGCCTCCTACCTCCTGGGCCCTCGAAAGGCTGTGCCAGCCGAGCCTAGCTCGAGCAGGCCCAGTGCCAAACTGGACAAGCTTCAAGCACAGGTAGGATCGTCACACGGGACTGGCTTGGCCAATCGTGGAGAAGCTCATCACCAAAGATTGACCACCAGATGATGAATGTTTTGAGCCACAGCAGCATGGGAAACCAGAGAGAGAGGGAGTTAACTAGGCCGAGGGATGTCTGGACACAGAATTCTCACCAACAAACACATCTGCCCCTCTATGCTGGCACAACTGCTGTAACAGTGGACATGACTTGGGAAGGTAGTGCCAGAGATGCCAGAAGACAGAACCTCATCGTCAGCGTATATGTGATCGGTGTCAGCTCTATGCAGTAGGTACCGAGGTATATGGTAGTATGAGGTATAGGATACACAGAGGTATAGGGTAGTCCTTAGCCTCAAGGGGCTTACTCTGTTTGGGGTAACAGGGCGTGTGCAGAAACAAAGCACGAGGGCATTTGCCAAGTGTACACGGTAAATGCTGCAGAAATTGAGTGTTCTCAGAAGGCCCAGTTTGCGAAAAGCTTCAAGGCAGAGGTAAGACCTTGGCAGACCCTTGAAAGGCAACAAGGCCTCGATACCAGTGTGACCATCCTGGGCACACTGGGGGAAATGTAGCCTAGTTTGGCCGGAGCAGATGATTTGAGGAAGGGAAGGTTGGGAGTTGAAAAGGGAAGAGATAGATGAAGAGCCAGATTGGGAAATGCCTTGAAAGCCAGTTTGAGGAGCTTGCATTTTATAGGCAATGGGGAGTTACTGAAGGTTTCTAATTGAGAAATGATACATGCAAAGTAGTATGTTAGGCCAGTTAATCTGAAAGCACTACGTGAGGCAGCAGAGACAAGGCAGGGAGCCCAGTGAAGATAATACTTTTCCAACCATAGGGTTATCAGAAGGAATACCAGAGGCCACCCAGTACAATGAGGAAACTGAGGCCCACAAAGATAAAGTGACTTGTCCAAGATCATGCGTAGGCGTAGAAGTGGGATTTGTGACTCCAGAGCAAATTCTCTTTCCATTATACTATTCCTTGAGGTAATGAAGGCCTGAATTAGTGTGAGGAGGCATGAATGGAAAGGAATAGATTAAAAAGACAGTATGAAGGAAGAAATCAATAGGCTTTGATGACTAATTGAATATGAGGGAAAGAAAGGAAGATTCAGGGATGGTTCCAAGACTCTGAGTGAAGAAATAATGATACCATTAACAAAAAAGGTGGTGGGGGGGGGGATAAGAAGAAGATAGCTACCATTTATATAGCATTTCAAAGTTTGCAAAGGGCTTTATATATGTTAACTCATTTGATCCATACAAGAACTCTATGAGGTAGGTGTTATTATTATCCCCAGCTTACAGATCAGAAAACAGACACAGAGAGGTTAAATGACTTGCCCAGGATCACAAAGCTAAGAAGTATCTGAAGAAGGATTCAAACTCAGGTCTTTCTGATTCCAAGTGTCAAATCCTATCCTCCATGCCAACTAGCTGGAAGGGAAGCTGCCCTGGTACCAAAGACAAAGAGTCACGTTTGAAATATGCTGAGTTTGAGGTAATGGGAGGATGTCCATGTCTATCTAGAGATGTGGAACCCAAGTTCAGGAAAAGTCAGGCATGAAGATGTACCTTTGGGAGCTATCCTCATAGAGGTGACAGCTTCAGTCAGGACCAGAGGAGTTCTTTCTTTAATGGAGTGTGTGTGTATGTGTGTGTGTGTGAGTGAGTGTGTGAGAGTGAGTGAGTGTGTGAGTGTGTGTGTGTCTGTGTGAGTGTGAGTGTGTGTGTGAGTGAGTGTGTGTGTCAGTGTGTGTGAGTGTGTGTGTGTGTGAGTGTGTGTGCGTGTTAGGAAGGAGGAACAGAAAGTAAGGACAGTGAGGCAAAAAAGGCACCACCAGAGAACTAGAAGGGGGATCAAATTAACACAGTGTCATGGATGCCGAAGTGGGGAAATTTGCCCAAAAGGACAAGGTAGTGCACTTTATAGAACTGTGCGGGGAGGTCAGAGTGAAAGACTGCAGAAAGGTCATGTCAGTTGGCATCTGGACCCTTGGGAATGGCCCTGGAGAGAGCACTTTCAGTCAAATAGTAGAGAGAAAGCCCAATTTTAGGGCAGTCAGTAAGTGCTAAGGAAATGGGTGCAGTGAATGGAACTTCTTTCCAGAAGATTAACAGATGAAAGGAAGGAGAAAAGATGTGTAGCTCCAGGGTAGCTCCATCCTCCAAGATGAAGGAAACAGTTTTTGGTTTGTTTGTTTTTTAAGAGAGGAATGTCCTAAGCATGTGTTTGGGGGAGGAGACATTGGATTGAAAATGGATTGTACAGAGGGAATGATTAAAGGACCCAGAAGAATGACCTGAGGGGAAGAGATCAAGAGGACAGAAACATTTAGTCTCTGAAAGTAAGCAAAGCATCCTGCAATCCAGAAGGAACAGAGATGGGTAAAGCCAAAGAGCTATTCTGAGACACTGAGAAAGACAGGGCTGCAGAGACATTTTGGAGTAGGGAGGCTAGAATGAGTGAGAGAGTTTGAGACCACATCAAATGGTCTCAAACACCCCCTCCTAACAACCCTGTGAGGTAGGTGCTAGTATTATCATTCCCGCTTTATGAATGAGGAAACTGAGGCAGAAGAGACACTTGCCCAGAGTCCCACCGCCAGGAAGTGTCTGAGGCAGGATTTGAACTTCCCCCGCTCTGAGTGCAGAGCTCTTGTGCGGTGGCTGCCAGCCACTGGTGGCTTGACTTTCCAGAGAGCCGTTTCTACAAAGTAGTGGGGACAAAGCCCAAGTGTCAGGGGTTGAGAAGTGAGGTTGATAGTGCAGGAGGTAGCAAGTACAGGCTACTTTCTAGAAGAATGACATCAGTGAAGAAGCGATGGGAGAATGGCTTAAGGAAGGGGCCCAGTGAAAGAACACTGCATTGCAGCGGCCTGCTAATTGGTCTTCCTGTCTCAAATTTCCCCGTCTAATCCAGTTATTTTCCCAAAAAACAGATCTGATCATGTCACCTTCTATTCAATAACTTGCAGTATCTCCCTGCTAACTTCCAGGCTTACCAAATAAGCAGTCCTCTGGCATTTAGAGCTCCTTACACCCTGGCCCGGCCCTTCCTTTCCATTGTACACTTTACTCCCTCTGCGTGGTCTGTGAACTAGCTACCCTAGCCTACTTGGTCCTTGGAAACCACCCTCCATCTCCCATCTTTGTACCTTTGCATCAGCTGTCCCTCCTGCCCGGAATGCCCTCCCTCCTCAACTGCAAGTCTTAGAGTCTCCAGCTTCCTTCAAGATTCAATTTAAATAAACCTAAGAAGACAGAACACAAACGTCACCTTCTCCTGGTCCCCCCATCACCACCCTTCTAAGGTCACCTTCCATCTACTCTGCATGTTTCTTGTACGTAGTACCTATTCATTTACCATGTTGTCTCCCCGACTAAAATGTGAGGCCAAGGACTGTTTTGCCCTCTCTTTGTATTCTTAGAGCTTAGCAAGGTGCCTGGCACATAATAAGAGCTTAATAAGCACTTGCCAATTGATGCGTTTTGAAGACTGGGGATAATTGAGCAGTTTTGAGGGCTTAGAGGAAGGAGCCAGGAGCAGAGAGGGAGAGAGCAAAAATGCAAGATGTTAGAGGATACGGTGGGCTGGGACCAGCCTCGGACACACGAGTAGTGCAGAAAGATGTTTTAGTTTTCTCAAGGGCTGCTGGGAGCCGTCTCCTCTTCAAACCTACCTCTTCAAACATGCCTCTGCTATTCTTCCTAGCTCCAGTGGCTAATGGAAAGTTTTTTAGAGAGGTAGGGCCTTGAAGTCTCAAACCAGATAAAGTAGTTGGGCTCACCTCAACTTTTTTTTTTTTTTTTACTTTTTGGTGAGGCAATCGGGGTTAAGTGACTTGCCCAGGGTCACACAGCTAGTAAGTGACAAGTGTCAGAAGACAGATTTGAACTCAGGTCCTCCTGACTCTATCCACTGCACCACCTAGCTGACCTTCACCTTAACTTTTTCATGTATTCATGTAACAAAAGATCCAAAGAAAGATCTATTAGTAGAGATTAGAAATTTTTATATTGGATTAGAATTTTTCTGTTCCTTCTTCTAACCAATCAACAAACATTTAGTAAATGCCTACTATGGACAGAGGACTGTGCTAGACCTTGAAGAGATACAACATTTAGAGAAAACAAAGTCTTTGCCCTGTAGGAAGTTTGCAGTCTAGTAACGGCATTGGAGGGGTGGGGGGAAGGGACAGAACATCCAGCCCATGATTTCATCAGTATGGAGAAACTTGGGTATGGAAATTCCCTTTCCCAATACAGAGCAACCCCTATGCTATATACCAGTCTGATAGATTTGCCTGGGGTTAGGTGACTCGTCCACAGTCACACTGCACATATGAGAGTCAGAGGCAGGACTAGACTCCAACGTCAGCTCTCTACGCACAATACCAAACTGCATTAGCAAATTGAAAAAGAAGGACTACGTGAGTTCAGGAGAAGGTACCCAGCAGGGGAGGCTTCCTGGAAGAAGGAGCATTTGAATTGGGCTTTCAAAATGAACAGACATTCAGTAGGTGAAGATAGAGCAGGGCATCCCCGATACAGGGATATATACTGATGTGGCATCAACATAGAGAAGTTAGTGGGAGGGGCAGGTCTCGGGGGAAGACAATGAGTTCAATTTTAGATATGTTGAGTTTAATGTGCTAGCTGGACATCTAGGTAGAAATATCCAAGAGGTGTTTGAAAATATTGAACTGGAACTCTGGGCAGGGGGCAGGGGTTAGGGATATAAGTTTGGGACTTATTTGCAGATAGGTGCTAATTGAAGTGAATGAGATAGCCAAAGCAGAAAGTGTAGACACAGAAGAGATGAGCCAGGGCAGAACCTTAGGGGACACCCATGTTTGAGGGGGGAAAGAACAAGAAGGAACTTGCAAAGGAGACACAGACGTGCTGGCCAGAGAGACAGAAGAACAATAGGGAAGAGAATATTGTCAGAGAAGCCCAGGAATCAGAGGGTGAGTCTACAGTGTCAGAATCCACTCTATAACATACCCAGCAAATGATCATCTGGCTTCTGCTTGAAAAAGACCTCCAAAGGGGGAAGGCACCTCTGGAAGTTGGTAGCCCATCCCACTTCTGGACAGCTCACCTCTCTGCAGCCTCTACCCACTGAGCCTGGTTCTGCCCTCTGGAGTCAAGCAGAACAAAGCTAATGCCCTCCTCCGCATGCTGACTTTTCAAATACTTCAAGTCAGCTGTCATGTCTCCCTGAGTTTTCTCTCTCGGCTAAACGTGCCCAGTTCCTTCAATCATTCCTCAGGTGCTAGGAACTCCCAGCCCTTCTGCGTCCTGGTTGCTTTCTCTGTACAAGCAACTCTCAAAGCCTATCTACTAAGTTATTGCAGGGTGTGATGGGTATCCGTGGAGGGAGCAGCTGACAAAAGTCACAAATCCTTGACGTACTTAAGCACACTGCTGATGTTAAAGACTCTTTTACCAACTGGAAACTTAATTCCAATTAAATTCTTTATTAGAAGTTGAAAGGAGGAGCTAGGGATGAGTCAGCCTGAGACGGGACTCACATGGCATCTGCCATTTACCTAATGACAATAGTATTTTAGTAGAAAGGGTTCTGAGCTGGGAATCAGACAATGCCCCTTACTGTCTCTAAGCCTCAGTTTCTCAAATGTCAAAACTTGCATCTTCCATTCTCATGGGATGTTATATACATGAAAAACATATGCAAAAGCACTCTAAGCTGTCTCACAAATTCTACATGAAATCAGACCAAAATGGAACTTTGTAATCTGCTTTCTGTTGGTCTGTGAGAAAAAAAAAAGGTCAGGCCTACACAGCTAGAGAGCAAGCAGAGGGCTAGAGAGTTACCTACTGAATCTGAGAAAGTACTTAGGCAAACCGTGTACATTGGAGGGCCAGGCTGGATGGTAGCAGACTTAGGGGAATTCTTCAGCAGTAAGACAACTCTGCCCAGGGTATTGAGTAAAGAATCACTGGAAACCCCAAGAAGGGCTTTTTCACCTTTTCTTGGTCATGGGCCCTTCTGGCCCCCGGCTGATGAAGCCTATGGACCCTTTCCTTCTCAGATTAATAGTTCAGTGCCCACATTCATAATTGGAGGAAATGCTCCATTTCAGTAAGAGGTTAATGAAAATAAAGATGGCATTTTTTTTTCCTATCTAAGTTCTCAGACCCCTTGGAATCTGTCCCCAGACTCCCCAGAACTCCTAACTCAAAGGAAAATCTCCAGTGGGTGCTAGAGGGCTTGGCTTTGTCCTGTTTAACATTTCTATCTAAACCTTGAATGATAAGGAGAAGGCATACTTATCAAAGCCGCTGGTGACAGAACTGGAAGGGACAACTTCAAATGTGTTTCAGAATCCAGAGACAAAGAGATCTCAAGCTGGAATGAGGGACCAGCTTACAAGATGCCATTTAGCAGGTATAAATAGAAAGTGCCGCACTTAGGTTAAAAAAAAAATAAACAATCAATTGCTTAAGTACAGAATACAGAGCTGGCTTGATAACAGTTCACATGAAAAAGACTTGGGGCAGCTAGGTGACACAGTGGATAGAGCATCGGCCCTGAATTGAGGAGGACCTGAGTTCAAATGCAGCCTCAGACACATAATATTTCCTAGCTGTGTGACTCTGGGCAAGTCACTTAACCCCAATCGCCTCACCAATAAATGAAATAAACAAATGAAAAAGGCTTTGGATTTTTTACCCGATTCTGTGTTCAAAATGCACTAACTACATGATGTGGGAGCCACAGGCCGCATTGTGAGATGTAGTACAGTGTCTGCAACAAGGTAAGGTGCTAATCTCCATGTGATCTGCACTGTCCAAACTCCCCCCAGCATATTAGGTTTGAGGCAGGAGACTTTCACTTTTGCCAGCATTGAGAGTATCCTATGATCTCACTGCACAATCATGAGCCATTCCTTACCAATGCAGGCCTGTCCACCCAGTACCACAGTGGACGGGAAGCAAGCCTTCATGGCACAAGGCATAAACTCACACTCCTGCCAGTCATGACAGAAGGAAAGGGAAGCCCAATTTTGGTTTGGCATTCTCTCAAGTTGGGATATTTTGGATTAGCTGGCTTTTCGGAAACAAGACAGATGCTTCACTTGCTAAGAATCACACTAGGGAAAAAAAGACTATTTTAAATCAGAAATGGTTAACAAATCTATAGGAAATCGCAAGAAGGTAAGTAGTTTTCATCTCTAGTTAACACGATTTGATAAGGAGGGTAGAGATGGGGTGAAGGAGAGAGGCTGGTACCACGTGCATGCCGTCAGGCACATTTTATACAAACCTTCTACCATGAGAATGATCATAAAGGAGAAGAATGAGTTGTCCAAATGCACTGGGATACCAACCTAATGGCACCAGACAACTAGTATTACCTTATATCCCTAACAAGATTCAATGTAAGCAGAAACAAGTGAATAGGAACCAAAAGAAAGCAAACCTTAGGAAACACTTTATCTGGAAGTTCCTTTGAGTCCAGTCTCCATCGAGGTCTTTTTTTTTTTTTTTTAATATAAAGCCCAAACCATAAAAATGATCTATGTGAGCTTTCCCCAAAATGTAACTTAGAAAAAGAAACTTACCTAAAACATAAGCAGCTACTAATTTCTGATTCACGCTTAAATGGAAGTAGAGAGGCACTAGGGATTCCACTTCTCCCAAGGTGGGTAACATCAGAGCTGCAATGCACACTATTCCCAGGAAAACAGTTAATAAACTAGGTCCTGATGAGACAGTCCTGTTTTCTGTAAAAATACAAATACGCTTCTTGAAGCTTAAATCTTTTCAACACAATTTAAGATAGTCTACCTGTGAGCCTTTCAAGAATACTTGTCAGCCATGAAGTTATATATCCCCACTAACATCTTTGCTTTATTTTTCAGTAGACTTCACCATGCCTTCCATGCCATATGGCGCCCTGCGCTCCTTATCTGGGACCCCACCCCTCAGAGAGACCAAGGAAACACCCTTCATCTCACTACTTTCTGGGTCTTGCAGCACCCACAGGATGGGCTCCAGCTATCCCTGGCTCCTCGACACAACAGCCCATTACCACTATCCTTGAAGATGTCCCTCTGGCATCCATTCCTCCATTCTGCCCAGCTCTGTAGAGCTGTTGCTGTTCTGCCCCACTCAAAGCATGGCAGCAGGCAAGCAAGAAAGTACCAAAAGAAAAGTTTTAAATTCTCTTCACGACTGCCTCAGGTGGAAAGGAAGAAAATAAGTCTGCATATATGATGGGAGAGGCAAGGTTTAATTTGTTTAAGGGGAAAAACATTTAAAATCAAAATCATCTTAATGATTATTTTGTTCTATTATAGCCTATTTTGTAATTTAAAACAAAATTAGCCCCTAACCCATAACTGACAAATAAGATCTTCCCAAAATGTATTATCAGGCATTATTCTACTGCATTATACACTCTCATACATTTTACAAAATGTGACAGTAACATCCTCCGATATATAGATTTTCCACTCTTGTCTCTTTCATTAAAGCAAACGACCTTTGTCTTCTTTTACAAAACGAGGCTGTTCATTCCTGCAGGCATGACGCTCACTTTAAATCAACCTCACCAAAGCCAGATCACAGAAAACAAATCTAAACTTCAGTGATTACCAATTTAGCTGAAGCAATAAAACACAAATGTTATCACAAGAGACTTGGCTTAACTGTCAATGACGACAACTGAAGCACATTTAGTGACTTACGTTCCTAATAAGAATAGATTTCCTTTAAGAAAAAAAAATTTAATTATTAAGTCATCATTTCAACAGAGATTACTAAAACCCATGTCAACTTCCCCAAACCTACAGGAGAAAAAAAAATTAAATAAGTTTTTTTTTTAAATTTAAGCAATTCCAAAAAAAAATCTCCTTGTAAATTCAGGGGACACAGACTCAGTAAACATAAGCAAAAATCCCCTTGTGGTTCAGAGGGTCAGAGGCTTAGAACTGGAGGGGACCTCAGAGGTCATCTACTCCAACACCTTCATTTTATAGATGGGAAAACTGAGGCCCAGGGAGGTGGGAAGACTTGTCCAAGGTTACCCATAAAGTAGTGGCAGAATAAGAACTGGAACTTTGTCCAGTCACTCCAGATCCAGTGTTCTTTAGATAGAGTTATAAAAATCTCTCTATTAATTCACCACTTAACATAACTGAAGTCATGGTACTTGAGTGCTTTTCAGGCAAACCAAAGCACAGACACTGTTTAAACTCATCTTCCATTATTAAAAGTGACATTTTAAAACCACAATTTTCAATACGGTAATTTTCCTTTAAAACATACCTTCAGGATGGCTCCAAGAGTGGAGGAAGGATATATTCAGAAATTAATGTGATATAAAGCCAAAAGGGCATCAAAAAACTTAAATTATATACATGGAAAGTACCTTTGATAGTTTTAAAATGTAATTTCGTTTAGCATTCCGGCCCAAATGCTTTTTCAGTTGACGCCCTCTAACCCATACTGCCTGCAAGAATAATTTTCTTCTTTTTGACCATTTTTCTTAATAATTAACCCTTCCCGTTCCAACCTTTAAGGATTTCCAAGCTCTGCTAGAAGGCAGTGATTTTACCTAGACTATTGTATTTGCTTAATACTTTTACTGAAAAGCTCCAAGCTGTGGGTTAAAACAATCCACACAAAAGGGCACTTGGAAAGCCTTGCAAGAAACCAAATTCATCTCGTTTGTCTCAACAGATCTTCAGGAAAATTTCACTTCCAACCATGGAATTCCAGATATCAAACACAAGCTATTTACTCAAAAGATACAATAAGATGGCCAGAATTTCACTCGCTTTCATTACTCATTCTAAGGAATTAGAAGAACAGCAGTAATGTGTAGTGCAGGGGTGGGGAACCTGCAGCCTTGAGGCCACGTGTGGCCTTCTAGATCCTTAAGTGCAGCCTTTTGACTGAATCCAAATTTTATAGAATCAAACCAGATTTGTTGATCTAGAAGGCCACACGTGGCCTCAAGGCCGCAGGTTCCCCACCCGGGTGTAGTGGCTAGGGAAACAGACTTGGAGTCAGAAGCCATTTACATTAGAATCAAAGCTCCTGGAGAAGGTTTCATTCTTTCTATTGCTTCTCTAGTGCCTAACACAATGCCTGCACATAGTAGGTACTTTAAAAATATTTGGTTATTGACTTGAGGCAAGTCATTTGGCCACTCTGTGCCTGGTTTCCTTCTGATGTCTCCTCCGGCTCTAGATCCTAAATGTGACCTTGGGCCAATCATTCCACCTCCACGGGACTCAGTTTGCTTCAGAAATTAATGTGATATAAAGCCAAAAGGGCATCAAAAAGCTTAAGTGATATACATGGAAAGCGTCTTCGATAGTTTTCAAATGTAATTTCGTTTAGCATTCCGGCCCAAATGCTTTTTCAGTTGACGCCCTCTAACCCATACTGCCTGCAAGAATAATTTTCTTCTTTTTGACCATTTCCCTTAATAATCACCTCTTTGCGTGCCAACCTTTAGGGGCTCAGCTGAGATGGCCTCTCAGGTCCCTTCTGCTTCTAAACCTAAGATCCCCTGGAAGTTGGATTTTCCACATAATCACTAGGAAAAATGGGATAACCTGGCAAAGATGGCAGGATCTGGCACATAGGGTGGAGGACATTTTGCTGTGGCACCTCTCCCTTTAGCAGGCTGATGATGGCCACAACTTTGTGGCACTGAGAAAAGGAACCCAGCAGCCCCCAACCATCATCTCCCCCAAAGAACCTTCCCATTTGCATGAATGGCTTATAGTCAGATTGGGGGAGAAGGGGGAATGTAACATCATAGACAAAAGCTTAACGTCAGCTCTCTCGATGCCTTTTCCATTTTTTGCAAATAGGTAGAATTCTTAAGCACAAAAATGTGCCCCCACTCCCATCCCCACAATATGAAACAAACAGAAGCCAAAAAGGAAAGAATAAAAGGTTTCAGTAAGAACTCTTCAAGTTCTGATTTTTGTTGCTCAGTCATATTCTCAATCCAAATATACTTACTAGGGTCTGAGAGCATGTTTTCTAACTGATTTTAATACCCATTTCCCTGTCCCCTAATTTTAAAAAATGATCCCTGGGAGGAGTTGAAGTACCTTATTACAGAAAATACTATATTATTCTTCACTATTAAACAAGCTTTAGTAATTAGATAAACGTGGTCCAGTGACTCAGTTATTTTTCTTGGTGGGGCAAAATAATTACAGGCTAATTCAGTCTCTTAATTTGAAACTTCAAAGATGTGCAATTTTATCAGTGTGGGTACTGCCTCCACCAGCTCAGATCATAACTCCTCTCTCATTGAGAAGCGAAGCGTCCACAGTGGCTGTGGTGGAAAACTCCATCTCATGTCACCAGCATGGTGAGGAACCTGTCTGAATTTAGCGGGGCTGGTCCCCAGACAACAGCCAGATTAGGCCCCGAGCCAGGCTCAGCTACCAGAAATACCTCCTTGAATGTGCCCTCTCACTCATTCCAGAAGAGGTATTTAAAAAGGAGGAGAGTCTGTGGGATTTAGAAAATGGACAAAGCAAAGAATTTCAATTTCACAAACTGTTTTGACATCAAAGATAGCATCAACAGGGGCTCTTAGCTTCAAAGGAGTCTCAGGTTCCTTTGTCATCAACAATCACTGGGCATCCATTCTGAGAAGAAAGCCCTGTGCTAGTTGCTGCCTCATTCATCCTTCCTCTTTTTCTGGCTCTAAAGGCCGTATAATAACCTGAGGACTATGGCAATGTCTACAAAAGACTAAGATTTTAGCTCTGCCACCAGTGTGACCTTGGCCAAGTTACTGTCATGGGAGCACAGAATGAGGGCTGGAAGGTACCTCAGAGGTCATCCAATCCAATCTCTTCATTTTACAGAGGAGAAAACTGAGGCCCAGAAGGTAAAAGTGACTTGGCCTAAATCGCAGAGACTTAGTGTTTGAGCCTGGGGCCTTGTCTCTAAACCTCTTTCCACCAAATCCCACCAGCTCTTTTCTATCTCTGGATCCCAATAAATTGACCTTGAAGGTCCCTTCTAGCTCTAAATCTATGCTTCTACGATCATGAGAGAGATGTGCTCAAGGTCACACAGGGATCTGAGTCCGAATTCAAACACTGGTCCTCTGACTCCAAATCCAATGCTCTCTCTGCACTCTACTGTGTTTTTTTTTTTTTTTTGGAGGTGGGGGGGTTTGGTCCAGACCCAAGATTTCATTAGCACTCCCAGTGAGTCCTCCCAGCAATCCAGAAGGGCACCTGCTCAGTAATTTCTAGTCAGAGAATTGCCTGGGGCACTGAGATCACATGACTTGCCTACGGCCACACTGCAGTGGGCATCAGAAGTGGGGCTTGAGCCCAGGTCTTCCTGACTCCAAGGTTGCCTTTCAACTTTCTCAAATGGACAAATTGATGGGGACCCATGAATTCCTGTAACAAGAAAGGGATTAAGTAATAAAACTCACGTATATGCTGTATAACAATTAAAATAGGGGTGCTGACTATACTTATGCCATTAAAAAAAAAGGAAAAGGTTCTCTTATTTCGTACCTTAAAAATGGTCCCCTTCTGACAATAGAAGTGGGGAGAAAAGGAATTAAAAAGGAGAGGTGGGGGATTAACATTCAAAGAGCCAAGTGTGGAGATGGTGACAATGTTAAAAGTGCACAATACCATTTCTGAAGAACTAAACTGGAAGGAAATGAGGAATGAAGAGGGATTGAATGAGTAGCCCACAGGGGATTTTTATAATCTGCCTGGTTTAATTAAATCCAATTTTAATGAGGTTTTTTTTCCCCCAAAACAACATGAGCCTCCTTAACAGAGCTTTGAGAGGGCAAATGAGCCACATACAATTCACTCACATAGAAAAAACACCTTCCTGGTGTTCGCCTTCTTACCGTATAAGCCAAATGTTACTTAGCACTTGTGTGTGTACACTCTCACTTTCTCTCACACTCTCTTTCTTTCTCTCTCTATCTTCTAGACTAATCAATTCAGCTTAGGCTGCAGCAACTAAATAAATTTGGTTCTCAAATCCCCTTATATAAGATATAAATATTTAATTATTTATATAATTAAGGCAAAGCCTGAGTGGGAGGAACAGCCAGCTATTATTCAAGCAAAATTAGCATTATGATTTTTGTATAAAATCTCTTTATGCAGTAGAAGAGAAAAGGACTAAATTGAGCCCTTTGGCTTTTTCTAATTTTCTTCTCCTTAAAAAAAAAAAAACAACAAATTTTAAATTTGAATTATTACCAAGCCCTTTGGAAAGGAGAGTGAATTGTAAATGTGGCACACTATTAAATGTTCCCATGTCTATTGTTTCACCATTCATCCTATTCTGATGCTTCATCAAGCCAATTCAAGCAGTATTTATTAAGCACCTATTAGATGCCAGGTACTTCTTTAGGTGTTAGAGATACAAATTCACAAAGGAAAGAGTCCGTGCCCTTCCTCGAGGGTTTCCATTGCCCGTGGCATAGAGGCTCTCTAAGGCTGTGCCAAAACTGCACAAGGTCGGACAGGTCTCACCCCAAACTGGAAAGGCTTCAAGTACAGGCCCAGTGGCAAAGTACTTCTACCTTCCAAGGACCAGTCAGTTAGGGTTGGCAAATTTCAGCACCAGAAGGTGGGCCACCAGGTGATGAACTGTTTTGGCCAGAACAACTAAGGAAGGCTTTCTAACTAAGGCCTGGAGGGGCTGCAATCTGTATTGGTGGGAGGAGTGCTCACAGAAACAAATAGTCCAGCTCTTTCGAAGTACCAAGGACCTATATTCTTTCTAAATACCATGACAATCATTACTTTATAACCTCAATCAATAAATAGTATATGGACTTTGTCTTGCTGCCAAGCTGTCTCTTTCAAATAAATTAAATAAGAAAGGAAGAAGGAGAAAGTAATCAAAACAAAACACACAACTGCTAAGTTGTATTAGCACATAATGAATATATTGCCTACTTTCTTCAGGTTCAAAAGAACTTGTAAAGGATAGCATGTCACATCTGTTCTTTACATCCTGGCCCTGTTGGGAAGTCTAACCCCAGCCCTCCATCATCCACTTCAATTTCCAGATGCCCCACCACCACCTGTGCATGTGTATGTACGTGTACACACACACACACACACACACACACACACACATTTTTGATGTAGTTATTCTTATTCTCAAGGTTATTGTAAACCAGGGATTCTGAACCTTTTTGTGCCAGGGCCCTGTTTGGCAGTCTGGTGAGGCCTATGTGAACCCCTTCTCAGAATCATGTCTTTAAATGCATAACATGAAATATATAGGCTTACAAAGGAAACCAATTGGGGCAGCTAGGTGGCGCAGTGGATAGAGCACCAGCCCTGAAGTCAGGAGGACCTGAGTTCAAATCAGGCCTCAGACCAAACACTTGACACTTACTAGCTGTGTGACCCTGGGCAAGTCACTTAACCCCAATTGCCAAAATAAAATAAAATAAAATAAAAACAAAGGAAACCAATTATATTGAAATACAGTGATGAAAATATTTTTTTTGAAGTTCATAGACCCAAGACTAGGAACCACTGTTGCAAACAGAAACAGCAAACTTCACTAAGCTTCTTAAAAATAGAGACCTGTTTGACATAGCATCTGCTCTAAAAACACACTTTCTGTTAAGTGTTCCTTTATCCTTTTTTCCTCCACTTCCTTTCGTTGTTCTCTGGCAGATGGAAGAAGGGTAGCAATAATCTCTTTCCGTCCTAAAGCCTTTCTCTGGCTTTGCTCAGAAACTTGGAGACGGAATTTGTCTATTACATCATAGTGGCAGGACCGAACATCTCTGTGACGAATTACGCTGTGTAAGATCAGAAAATAAATGCTGTTAGGTTTGGGGATTTTGGCATGACAAGTGGAGAGGTAGATTTTAATACTATATAGGCAATGTTATTAATAAATCACAACAAAACAGATTTGCTTTAAGCCAAAAACATGGGAAATTCAGATATATTCAAGGGGAAAGCATATAACGTATTTGAAATGTAGTAATGGGTCTACATGCAAAAGTCTGGTACAAAAGAGACAAAAAATAAGAAGAAAGTCTTTCCGCATTTTAGATATTACATTTTTCTGATAATGGTGCTGCAGCATTTACTATTTAAACAGTAATAGTAATCAAGTATTTCCTGCTCTGGCACCCCCTCCTAGTTTGTACTGCTATCTATCTATATCTATTGCTCAGATCACAAAGCTCACAATGAATTCTAAAATGAATTTGATACACGGAGGCTGAAATAAGCAATGTAGCAGTGAATCTGTCGTTAGTAGTGCAACGTGAAGGCGGCAACACAATGCTGTGGGGAAAAAAAGCCAGTTTGTTCACGGTTCTGCTACAAAGTAATATTTATGCATTTTGCTGTTTCTTACTAAAGAACACAGAGCATCCAGGGCATTTGGCAAGAAACTACATTTCAACAGTTTAGCCTTTGCAACAGAGTTTTATTACCCAGATAGAAAATTAAAAGAAAAAGTCCTCCCTGATAATGAAGAGCACATTCCTAGTGGTTTTCTAAGATTCCAAAGCACACTACTTTAGCTTTCTCTCTTAGAGAAATAATGATATTTTAGAAATAAAAACCTGGCTACCTGTTTGCAATTCTCACAGAAGGTTAAGTAAACATGAGAGACCAGTCAACAGAGGCACATCTGGTCACTGGTTTTGCCACTAGGGCAAAAACCAAATATGAATTGATTCATTAAGTAATTTAGCTCATACTCCAAATGAAAATGATCTGGAAGAACTCTGATAGCTTCTTACAGGTAAGAAGCTCTGTACACACTTGCTCACATCATTTTCTTACTTGCTTCCTGTTTATTTGGGTAAACTTCCTGGGCCTCTTAGCTGAATCATTGAAGATGAGCTTGTATACCCATTGTTCTCAGGATAGCACTAAGAAAATCAGGATGTGCTAAAGAAAGCCAAATCCCCTAGTGCAGATGGAATAATTTAAAGAGAGCAAACCAAAGAAGAGAAGCTTGGTTGTTGGGTTTTTTTTTTTCCTTTTTAAAGGATCTTAGATATCCCTGCTGCAATTGAGAGATTAAAAAACAATCCCAAAGGTTTTCATAGAAAATAAACAACCAAGATCTACATCACCTCCAACATCTTTTAAACATGCCAAGCTTTTGACCAATTTGTTTTAAATTGCCTAGGAACCTCTCACAGAGAAGCTCAGTGTGCCCAAACATTAAGTAGAACTCAAAGCAAAGCAAAGGCCAAGTAAAAATTATGAGCAGGTAACAAATGCAAAATACAGCTTTTTAAAGCTGTCATTACCAAACTTTAAAGAAAGTTATTGTTGACCTTAAAACATTTAACTAACAAATAGCTTTGACTTACATATCCACACAGCATTGAGGCTTCACTGCCCCGGCAGCATCAACGACAACATACTTATTGGGAGTAGTACATAAAACTGAAAGACAAAGGTCAAAATAATCATTTAAGGCCAGCTTTCCAAAACCTAGGTGGAGACATCCATTTGCATGATTATAAAGGCATGGCCAGGTACACTGGGCAAGATAAATTACTAATATAGTAGAGTTATACTGAACAAGATCACCTTTCAGCCACTTGAAGCGGAGCAACTCACCTTTGAACTTTAGGGCAAATTCATAGGGGTTATACAATGTCAACACCTGCTTGTGTGTTGACTGGTCATCTGCATAAAATATCAGCTCGGTAGGAAATACGAAAACAGGAAGATTTCCTTCCACTAATTCTGGTTGCCTTCTTTGTTGCTGCATTGGCACTGAATCTCCCTTGCCACTACTTTTCTTCTTACGGTCTCCAATCTAGTCTGGATTTCTCTCTGTGATTCAGTTAAAAACTCCAAAGCATTTTTGCAGTCCTATGGAAAAAGAAAGAAAGAGAGAAAGAGAAAAAGAGAGAGAGAGAGAGAGAGAGAGAGAGAGATAAAGAGAGATAAAGAGAGAGATAAAGAGAGATAAAGAGAAAAAAAAACTGGATGATAACTCATTTTCAGGAGCTTATGTTACAAGAAGCAGGAGCTGGCTGGCATTTAGTTTCATGCTAGCTCATAATTCATCAAAAATACTTTAAAAATCAATTAATGAAACATGACCTTTAACTCTTGTTATTGGCTTGCTAAAACAGGTTTAATCTAAGTACCATGCTATCATTTATAAATCCTCCTTTCACACACTATGAACACTATAAAAATTAGAGCACTATGAAAAATTACATTTGGCCTATAAAGCAATAAAGAGTGCTCTCAATCTCAATTAATGGCACTCTTCAATACTATGCTTCAAGCAAAGCAAAATTTCAATTTTTAAATCAGCATCTGCATTGGGAGGTGGAGCCAAGATGACAGAGTAAAAGCAGGGACTCACCTGAGCTCTTCCCCAAACCCCTCCAAATACCTTTAAATAATGACTCTAAATGAGCACCTGAAATTAACTTTTACATTTAAAAAAATAAGATAAATTCCATACTTATTGAACACAAAACAATAAATTCAATAATGTTTAAAATTTACTTATGAGTTTTTCCAATCCAATTCATCAAGTATTTATTAAGTTCTGTGCTGAGAATGGGGACACAAAGACAAACCTGTCCTCAAGGAGCTTATATTCTATTGGAGGGATACAGCATGTAAATAAATAGGTATACACATGATTATTTGAGCACTAACAATTGGAGGGAGAAGGAAAGACTTCCCATAGGAAGTAGCACATGAGCTTAGCCTTGAAGGAAGCCGGTTCTAAGAATCAGAAGTAAGGAGAGAGGACATTCTAGACGTGGAGGACAGTCTCTGTAAAGACATAGAAATGGGAGAGGTGATACCAAACTCAGGAAACAGTCAGCTCGCATTTATTACTCACCTACTATGTGACAGGCACTGTGCTAAGTACTGTGGATACAAAGAAAGGCAAATATAGTCCCTGCTCTTAGGGGCTAATTGAAGAGACAACATATAAACAACCTTGTACAAACCATAGGTGTATGTATGTGTGTGTGTGTGTATGTGTGTGTGTGTACATACATGATAAATGAGGAAGAATCTCAGAAGGACTAAGATTAAGGAAGTCCAGGAAGGCTTTTGGCAGAATCTAGGACTTTAGCTAAGACTTGAAGGAAACCGGGGAAGCCAGGAGGCCGAGATGAAGAGGGAGAAAGTTCCTGGTAAGGGTCAGTCAGTGAAAATGGGAAATGGAGTATCTTGTGGGGGCAGTGGCAAAGAGGCCAGTCATGCAGGGGTGGGAAACCTGGTTAGGTTAGGAAAGCTAAGCTTTGAAAACCAGAGGATTTCAGATTTGATCCTAGCAGTAATAGGGAGCCACTGGAATTTATTAAATGGGAGTGAGGGATGTTTTTTAATAAGACCTTTGTTTTACAAAGATCAATTTGATAACTGAGAGGAGGATGGACTGGAATGGGGAGAGACTTAAGGCAGGGAGACCAAGCAGCAAGCTACTGTGACAGTTAGGGTGTGAGGTGATGAGGGGCCTGCAGCAGGGTCGGGGCAGTGTCAGAGAAGCAAAGGACGCATACACAAGAGATGTCATGAAGGTGGAAAGCAGATGACTTGACCATTGATTGCCAAGGCGGAGGGGGGGGGGGGGGGGGGGGGAGAGAGAAAGAGCGAGGAGTTGAGGATGACACCTAGGTTTCCAGTCTGGTTGATGGGAACATGGTGGTACCTTTGTCAAGAGTTGGGAAGAGGGGAAATAGCAAGTAGGCCTCTTTGGTTGAAACACGGTGAATTAAGGGCAATAAGCCTGGCGAGGTAGGCTACAGCCAGACCATGAAGGGCTTTAAATGCCCAATTGTATCTTAGAGACAGTTGGGAGCCACTGAACAATCTTGAGCAGCGGAGTAAAATAATTGGATTTTAATTTCTAAATGATATTAAGAGGTACAAAATCATATAAAACAAGCTTCTGTACCCTAGAAAGAAATGGAATGGTTACAACTTAAGGTAAACAAAAAAGAATTTGGCTCAAAGGTGGATCCACATCTGGACTGGGTAAAGTATGTGGCTTTTGTGGCAACTATTTCCCCCAAAGGTCAGAGGTCCTTTTTTTGATTGATTCTAGTTTTCCAGCTATGTTCAGATAGCCAAAGATGTCATAAATCTGATCACTAGATAATGTGTTACTGTATGTTTCCTAGTCTCAGTTAAAAAAAAATCAACAGCACCTCTAAATGTAATATTTTTAATAAAAATAAAAAGCCATACACATATAACTTTTTATATAAATAATTTTAAGGACCCTGAAAGATGTCAAATTAAATTACAGAATTCCAGAACACTTCTAATTTTCGGTTATGTGGACTGCACCTTAAAATTGTTCTGTTAGTCATTTATTACCTTGAATTTAGATTCACTCACAGAAAAAATGGCCACAGCAAATGGTAAAGTTTTTACCAGACGGAGATTCTTAATCATTGGCACTATTATGCAGACTTTCCAAATTTGAACAAATGGGGCCCTAGATTATATTTTCCTTGTGCTCATTAGAAAAACATTGAACCATTTCTCCTCATCTTTCAACATATCCAATAGCACCTAAGGCTACTAAGCATTTTCCCAGTTGACCACACTGACTTTCCACTTTTTATTCACCTCAACAGTCCATTAATCTCAGAATCAGAATTGTTTAGAGCTCAAAGGAGCTGGAGAGATCATCTAGTCCAACTATCTTGTTTGAGAAAACAGGGAAGAAAAAGAGCAATTCCCATTTGTATAAAGGATTTAAGGTTTGCGAAGCATTTTATATAGCATCATACATAGACCTAGAGATACATTCAGATTCTCTTTTGAGCCTCACAACCACATGAGATAGATGCTATTACTACCCCCATTTTACAGATGAGAAAACTGAGGCTGAGAAAATTGAAGTTACTTGGCCAAGCTCACCCCGTTAGCCAATGCCAGAGTTCAGACTAGAATTCAGGTCTGCTCTTGCCCCATCCACTCATACACACTGCCTTACAAAAATAAATTTATCATTCTGAACATATCAGATTATGCAGTCTTAACCTGTGAGTTTCTATTTCTTCAGGGGCTTTCTTCTTTTTTTAAAGTGTTATATAAATGTGTAAATACAATATTACTATTATTTTTTGCTCCATGGACATAAACCATACAAGTTATATATGTATATTACATAAAAGTTATAACCTTTTCAGCCTAAGTATACTGTATAGCATATACTGCATAGCTAAGTATACTGTATAACATAAAAGTTATAACCCTTTCAGCCTAAGTATACTATATACTGTATAGCTTTTCTTTTCTTCTTCTTTTAAAACCCAAAACACTAGAACTTATACATTCTGTGTTGAGGTGTTCTCAAAATTCTAGTAAATCCTTTTTGTTTCAAGGGCAAGAAGTTCTTTAATTACTCTGCACTGCAAGCTTCATTAGAGCCAAAACACCCAAATTTGCCATTATGGTCCCAATCCATTGTACCTCCTAGGATAAAGTGCTACCCTTGAAGACTATGTGGGATTTCAAAGAAAATGAGCTTTAAATGACACATTTTTCTTAAACCTAGGAAAAGTGATGGACAGTATGAAATGCATTTACCAACATATGGGCACTGAGGAAGTAAGATACTAAAAATCTCGGGCTCTTTCTTAAATAGAAAGAATTGGCTTAGAATCCCAGAATGTTAGAGCTAGGAGGGACTTTAGAGACCTAGTCCAACTCTCTTATCTCCAGAGCAGGGGCCTCAAAGGGAAGTGACTTGCACTCAGCTCCTTGATGGCAGAGCTAAACCAAGAAGACAAGGGTCCTAATTTCCATGTTAGGACACTTTGCACTATACAATGGACCCTTCTTCAAGAAGAAACTCTTCACACAACAGCGACTGACTTTGGCAGGAAAAGCATACATTGACTTTTAAGGGGACAAACTTTAGGAAGGTGTGGAAGTCCAAGGCTCTTGGGCCTTCACTTCCAATACTCTCTTCTTCTACTTTCCAGTCCTAGCTAAAGCTAGGTCTTGAACAATTTATTTCTACCTCAGATTTTCCCATATATCATAACCTACATTGTTAATTTTCTGGTAGTCATTGAAAAAAAAAACATTAAACCATTTTGCTCAGCTTATCAGTGCTCCATTTCATGCACCTGCCTCCATTTGTCATTTCTCTTGGCTAAGAATGAAAGTTGTCTCCTAAACTGATCCCAATGAAAATTGGGAAGGAGCTGGCATCAGGTCACCATAGCAATATGAACAGCCCTGCCAACAAAGAGAAACGTAGCATGGCAATTGCCCTGAATTGATAGGATTCTGGAGACAGACATTTTTCAGTCTTTCCTTTTCTCCAGTCAATATTGCAAAATGTGAGGGTGTAAGATCCGGTGGGAGAGCTAACGAGGTATAGTTAGCAAATACGAACACTTTCCTGTGAATTAGTTTAGGAGATTGCTTCCCAACAATCATTGAGTCTCTGAATTTTAAAGCTGGAAGGGACTTTAGAAATCATTCAATCCAAGCCCCTCATTTTTACAGATGAGAAACTTGAGGCCCAGAGAACTAGTCACTTGTCCAAGATTACACAGTGAATTAATGGCTAACTTGGAGGTAGAACCCAGGTCTCCTGATTATGCCACACTGCCTCCCATCAGTGGGACAGGAAGCTGAGGCCCATGCCTTGAGGTGAGTTTTCCTAGGTGAAGAAGGCAGAAATTGAGAATACTGGACATATGCCAGGGAGAGCAGATTTAGATGAGGCATCACAGTGGGAACTATGAGATAACCAGAGGGCAACATTAGGGCACCAGTTACCTGGGTGGTTAGAGGTCACATGAGTGACGAGAGGGCTAGTCAATCAACAAGCATTAATTAAGTGCCTACTAAGTGCCAGGCACTAT